TTGACGCAGCACGAGGTCGAACTGACCATGCATATCTGGAAACGCGGGGCGCCTCGCAACCTTCTACCCTGACGCTATTGAAGGTGCACGCAAAACACAATGCCGGAAAGACGAAGAGCCCTTAGAATGAAAAGCTCGCGACACTACCGTCCTTTTCTGACGGCTTAGCATGGCTTGAACCCAACTGTCATAGCCGCGATGTTATTTTGGGCGTGTTGGCCTTTCCCAGTTGCTGGTGGAATGCGCTTTAGTTGAGCCAGCAAAGCAGCGGCCGGGGACGGCAATAGCACAGTAACTGGCGGTAAAGACGCGGGCGGCTCCCCACGCAACTATACAAGATAACACGGTGACCAAATTGATACGACGGCGGCCGACATATCCGTGCTTCGGAATATTATATGTGCACGCAATCCACATTACTACGCTTTTGCTGCGCGACCTTAATAATCCTGGACCGAACCCCCGACTTTGACCTAGGTGACCGGGGTAGACTAGTCCCGGTGACCTCGCATGAGGTCGAGGTGGTTCCACCTACGTCTGCTGTGTATGGAGGTCATTCTTTACCGCTGCAGTTTGCTTTACGGTTCCACACAACACTCGCACCGAGGCATCGCGCAGCCAAGAAACACGACGGTGTAACATGGTATACATCGTATTTGTTCCGTTTGTTCACGCCAACATGCAATAGCAGAGAATGTCGCAATCACTGACCGCAGCCATAGACCGCAGATAACACAGCAAGCGGCGCAGACCACCAGTCGGTTCATGTTATACAATACACCCAACACCACGCTACAATGGCTACAGAACGACAGCTAACCACCAGCCATGCCAGAAGTCATCATCATAATGCCCAGTCTCACAGTGTTCACATAATGCTTACAAAATCGGCAATCTCACACCTTCCCCCCTCGCAGTTAGAGGTTAAATCAATGAGTCTCAGAGTATATATGCTAGATGCAGACGTCGCATAAACAAAACAACATCGACTGACATGATTCAGCAGGGGAACACAACATCCAAACCTCCACAGAGCCCGCAACAGAACCTCACCGAACTCTCATACAACGGCGCATACGCCGGTTCGCAGCCTCCCCCGCAGTCAAGACCATTTAGTCGGCAGTCAAACGAACCGAGCGAGCCCACGCGACCCCCGACGGCTGCCTCTGACGCCTGGCTGGAGACATGCGGCACTCCAGGGAGGCTGGACCGTACAAGCACACGTGGCCACCCACAGAGCGGAACAGGTAAACGTCAGGTGATGGGACAGGTCCAGCCACGGCCAGATGAGTCACTGGCGCGGGCTGAGGCGGGATGCAGGGTTGGTGCGGGCTTATACAGGACTCAGGGTTGGCGTGGGCTTAGATGGGATTCAGGGTTGGCTCAGGCTTAGACGGGGTTCAGGACTGGCGCGGGCCTACAGGATTCAGGGTTGGCGCGGGGTTAGACGGGATTCCGGGTTGGCGCAGGCTCAGATAAGATGCAGGGCTGATAAATTTTGGAGCTACCCCAGCCCGCAGCGTTCGGTGCAAGGCCATTCATACCACCAAACTTACTGGATTAATATGTCCAATTACACCACAAAGGGCCCGATATTGCACGCACACCACGCGAACGATTCCAACAAATGAGTGAGCTACAATCGACTGGCTGCTAGAAAATGACATGGACTGAGCATGGGCTCACTCGCATCATCCACACAGTCAACCATCGCCATGAACACCTGAGAGAAGATGAGTACGAGCTTAACGCTAGCGTGAGATAACTTATCAAACAAAGACTCAGAAATCACACCGTGCACCACAAACGGAGAAGAAAGACCGCCAGCTGTTGGTGTCAACTGATAACAGCCAAACGCATGCTAGTGCCACTGTCGACGCATTGAAGGACCAGGCGCGTGCCAACCAAGGCGGAGCCGTCGCATCACAGGGATACTTCATCGAAGACTAACTGGGAGACCAACAAAACAGTCTGGGACCCGTTTCCATTGGACCGACCCTGCTCAACTTGCTCACAGAAAACCGGCTCGGAATCGCCGACGACAGTGAGCCGGCAGCCCGAGTTCGAATTGTACCTTTCCCAGATATTGCGCCGTCCCCCGCGCGGCTCGTGGCCGTCACTACAGCACATTCAGAAACTCAAAAGCTGGGACACGGGGCGCCACTGTCGCCGCGAGCGCCAGAACTGCGTCCGCGGCAGCCAGCTGCAGCCAGCGGCGGTCAGCGGCGGCCAGCTGCAGCCAACGGCGGCCAGCTGCAGCCAACGGCGGCCAGCTGCAGCCAACGGCGGCCAGCGGCAGCCAGCGGCGGCCAGCTGCAGCCAGCTGTAGTCGACGGCGGCCAGCGCTGGCACAGCAGCGACGGCGACGCCGAGATGGCCCTCCCACCGGTGCAGTCGGAGAAGACTGAAGCTTCGGAAACAAACCCCATAGACTCGGCGGCCTCCAGACACACGGGCGATAGACCGGATCACACACATTAATGCCCAAATGTTTCCTCTGTACTGGCCCAGCACAGACTTCACTTTGGTGCGCGGACGCGACAACGGCACGTCCTTTGCATACATCCGCGTGGCACACCGTGCACCACACGAATGTCACGTGCCGCTCGCGCAGAAACGCGGTCTGCGCAGGTCCGTTAGTGTGGAGGCGTCAGCGGGATAATCAATGAACACGAGTCGCTCGCGTAAATGACGTTAGATGACGTCAGCTAACGCTCGCACGGACGTTCGATGACTGCCCGAGCAGCGACCAGAGCACAGCTGGGCCGCAAACCGAAGAAAAACCAGACTTCAGGTGTCCACCGGGTTTGTGTTGGGACCTGACCGCGGCGACCTGGACAGCACGCAGGTCTCTGAAGGCACAGCGCGCCGCTGGCGCACCACGAGCAGCGGCCTCCGCCCGGGTCGAGAGCGGGCTAGCCCACCCTCGCCGCGGAGATCTCAGACGTACGCCCTCACGTCTCTGACGGGGCTCAGTCTCGCCGCCGCGCAAGAGGCGGAGCCATGTCTGAGCAGTCTGGAGGCGGTGTGACCGCCGCCGCTGCATCGCAAAGACCGTGCGATAGAGTGTACGGCGCGGACCGTCAGCGGTCGCGTGGCCGGCCGCCCCGGGCCGTCCGCCGAGCGGCGACGGTCAAAGAGCCGCTCTCAAACAGGCCACCAATCCAACCGGCGGCCAGACGGGAGCAGCTGGTCGCGGTCTCGAACTCAACTACAGCACATGTAGCGAGGCCCGCAGCCGGGAGGGCCGCGGTTCTCAAAACTT